GGGGAGGGTGTTCAAAGAACTGGGTCTGGCGGTCGGGGTTTTCAGGAGGCGGAGGCTGGAGACAAGACGTTCTGGTGTGGAGAGAGACAGAAGGAAACGGGCAGCCCAGGGAAGGCCTCTGGGGTTTTGGGTGGTTCAAACCCCGGGTTCGGCGCCTGGGCTGTTTCGGGTACGAAGCAAAAGGTCGCCTCCCCCTCAGGCTCCTTCCGAAGCTTCGCGGGGCGTGGGCGGGGAAGGAGAGAGGCGGTGCCCTGGGACAGCGGAGTCGGCTCAGTGGCTGCGCCGCTTTTATGCTTCTCGTCTAATCTCGGTTGGCGAAGTGTTTCTCCGGTCCTGGCCCTGGCCCGGGGTGTGTCCTCCCCTCCCTCCTCTCCCGGGGCGCACTGTCCTCCCTGAAGTTTCACGCTGTGGTCTTGCAGCCACGCCCAGCCCAATGCGCGGTGCCTCCGTTCCCGCAGCCTGGTTGCTGCGGGCTGGCGTGCACCAGGATCCTGAGGCGTGTCCCGGAAGATTGCACTGGGTCATTTTGTTCAATTAACCGGTTTACTGTGCTTGCTAAAGGCTCAGTCGGTGTGGCTCAGTGGTTGAGCGCTGACCTATGAACCAGGAGGTCACGGTTTCATTCCCAGTCTGGGCACAAGCCAGGTTGCGGGCTCAATATCCAGTAGGAGTCATGCAGGAGGCAGCCAATTGATAATTCTTTCTCATCATTGATGTTTCTCTCTCTCTCTCTCTCTCTCTCTCTCTCTCTCTCTCTCTCTCTCTCTCTCTCTCTCCCTCCCTCTCCCTTCCTCTCTGAAATCAACAAAAAAATATATATTTTAAAAAGGCTCCATAGTCCAGATTAAGTTTGACTCAGAATCAAAGCGAATGCTTTTCTGGGATGAGGGATTATTTTCTTTTATTTCTCAGACTCCTGAAAGATTTTGAGGCGCACACAAAAGGAGAGGGATGTTACTGGGTGTCCTGTCTACCACACTTTTCAGATCTATCTAACTATATAGGGCCCTGTGGCCTTCCATTGTTTTTGAGCCATTTTACAATTCTGTGAATTGTAGAAAACCTGTAGTCCTGCAACTGATTTCTGTCCATAGAAATGCAAATGAGTTTGTCAGTAGAATGTAAACTGACCAGTTTGGCATTGATTTCTAAATTTATTTTAGCATGCCTGTTTGCCTACATATATTCATTATTTACATTCTTTTTTTGAACTGGCTGTAACATCATACCAGTTTCATTATTAATAAGAAGATAAAAATTTTGACATGCGTTCATTTTATATTGTGTCATAATTTTACATTTTTCTAAATATTCCCTTTTAGCAATATTTTCCTCATAGTCTATATTTCTCAAAATGAAAGTATACTATCTTTATAATTAGTTAAAATTAAAATGTTCTAAAAATCCAATTAAGCATTTGTTTGAAATAATTCAGAACATTTTATTTTTTAATTTATTATTTCAATTGTAGTTTACATTCAATATTATTTTGTATTAGTTTCAGGTGTACAGCTAATTCTAACCATTTTAGGGTGGACAATAGGAATCACTACCTTTCTTGGAAAAAGTTTTAATTAAAAATTATGGTAAAATAAGGAAAGCATAGAATTTACCATCTTGGACCATTTTTAAGTGTATAGCTCATTGGCTTTAAGAAAATTCATATTGTGCTACTGTTATTGGTTGAGAGCTCTCCTGGTTCCACCTGGTTGCTGGTGGGAGTGGGCTTCTTGCAATATCCAAAGAAAAAGAAACTTCTGAGACTTAGAGTTGCAGTCTAATTCTAAGAGTGAGATATTGTAGAAAGCTTTATTTCAGTGGACTTACACCTCTAAGTTTCCAAGGTCCCACTTCCCTCTCTGCTGCTGTTAGGGCCGGGAGTGAGAAATAGAATAGTGGGGACTAGCTATAATGATAAGAAATATCAATCATACTCTGTTAACTGTGACTGTTTTGTTCTGATTTAGGTACATTCTGACCTGGCTGGGAGTTGTATGCCCCGGGACCTGGGAGTCAACCTCAAAATGTGGTCCATTCTCCTTATCCAAGAACTGCCTAGCATCGTGGAAAAATTAACAGCCTTGTTGCCAAAACAATGGACTCTCTAGAGGTGCCCACCCTTTGCAACCTCCAGCCCACATTGCTTGTAACCTGTAACCAAAATAGCCATTTTCATTCCTTTTGCATACCCATTCTTATTCCTTTTGCCTGTTTCCCCATGTAATCTTTGTCCTTCTGCTCAATATTAGTGGCTGACTTATTGGGGGGCTGCGGGGGGGGGCAGGTAGAGCAGATTTTTGTGGATGACCTGTTGCTCTCATGCTGCCGGCAATATTGGAAAATGAAAATGCTTATATACGATTCAACCCTGCCTCTGCTTAGTTGGCTTACCTACTAACAGGCAGCCTGGACCCACTCATTGTCTGGTTTCCCTGCCATGGAAGACGCGCAGTGTGCCATCAATAGGGCTAGAATTAAAGCAGTGGCCCAGAGTTTCCATTCCATGTCTGCACAGTCTAACCCAGCACCAGGCTAGCTTAGTTTGTGCATCCCACTGCAGTCCATCAGTCCATTGTGTGTGGGGTCTGCAGGGTCACATGGCTATGGAGGGAACATGGGCAGGAACAAAACTAAAGGAACCAAAAAGCCAAGAGAGAGAGTTCCTTTGTCTAAGGAATTATGTATTCCCAAATTTGGGGGGCCTGCATGGGCTCCACCCCCTCTAGCCAATCCATGGTTTCCCAGGCTAGATTGATAGGCAACTAACTTCTCTATGTCACCCCCGGGGAGTGGGCCTAAGCCAGCAGGTGGTCATCCCCCCCAAGGGGTCCCAGACTGTGAGAGGGCACAGGCCAGGCTGAGGGACCCCCCCGAGTGCACAATTTTTTGTGCACCAGGCCTCTAGTCAACAATAAAAATATATTAAAATGAAACTAAAAAAATTAAACTATGATTATTCTCTATTTTTAAATGGCACTAAAACCATCTTAATTGAACTAAGCGCCTTCAACATAGCATTAGCTTTCCTTGTTGGCATATAGCCTGACAGCTATTTTTCTAGCCTTGTATGTCTAAATACTGTAGATGATAAATATGTAACTTTTGACACCAATTGAAAGTAGCTCCCCCTCCCCCCGTTAGCTCAGCATCACATCACCCTAATTTATTTTTTACAGACAGAATGTATCACTACCAAGTATTGTCTTATTAATTATGGAATGACTTATTTGTATTCTGTTTCTCTCACTGAATTAAAATATATATATTCTTTCTGATTTCAGAGAGGGAAGGAGAGGGAGAGAGAGATAGAAACATTAATGATGAGAGAGAATCATTGATAGGCTGTCTCCTGCACGCTCCCTACTGTGGATCAATCCTGCAACATGGGCATGTGCCCTGATGGGGAATCAAACCATGACCTGGTTCATAGATGGACACCTTGGCTGGCCTGCACCACCCACTTGCCAGCCCCACCCCCTGCCTCTGCCCGGCGACTGGCAGGGCAATTGGGGGGGAGGGCCCGCTGGCACCCACCTTGGCTGGCCTGGGGCCTGTGGGTGGGGAGCAGCTCCTGTGTTGAGTGTCTGTCCCCTGGTGGTCAGTGTGTGTCATAGCAACCAGTCATTCTGCCGTTCAGTCAATTTGCATATTAGGCTTTTATTATATAGGATTTCAGTAGCATTAAGTACATTCACATTGTTGTACAACCAATCTCCAGAATTCTTTTCATCTAGCAAAACTGAAACCCTGGTTCTAATTAAACAGCTCTCCATTCTCTTGTCCTCTCAGCCCCTGGCAACCACCATCTACTCTCTGTCTCTATAAATTGGACTACACAATGCAACTTATATAAGTAAAATTATATGATAGTTGTCCTTTTGTGACTGACTTATTTCTCTTAGCATGATGTCCTCAAGATTCATCCATGTTGTAGCATGTGTCAGAATTTTCTCCCTTTTCAGGGCTGAATAATATTCCATTGAATGTGTATACCACATTTTGTTCATGTAGTTATCTGTTGATAGACACCTGGGTT